CCCTCGTCCACGTTCTCATGTGCCAGTCGTAATCAGCTTCCCCCAGCCCTCCAACTTACTCCGGCTATTAAAAAAATTGGATCGCACTGATACTCGGTGTACACTAAAGGAGCAAGCGCGAGATTTGAACATCTCTTCTTGCGAGGCTAGCGTCGGTGTGTGTCAATGTGCCTTTGTCTTTTGAATGTGAAGGAATGTTTAAACAACAGAAAATGTTTTGTTAATGTCACAGTCGTGAAGTGAAACTGGTCCTCACTGTGAACTTCTTTTCTGTGTTTTCGCTCAGAATACTGCAGAAAGACAAAACTTCACGCATTTAACAGAGTCCGTTCGAACAGTCATAAATAATGCAGCACCCACAAATGTCATATTTAGAATAAATAATATTTTTCTTCGTGATGGTAAATGCCCTAGATAATATTTATTTACCATTTACGTTATATATTCTTTTTTAATCTTAATTTGTAAATGAAGCAACATTGCTTCTGCCAGGTTTCCAGCGCAGCCATCAGGCCTCCTCTCGCCTTAACGTGATATAACGTCATTAAATAATATAATGTTTACCCCGCGTAAGCCTTGCAGCAATGCAATGACTTTAGCCTTCATTAAGTGACTCGTGTTTTAGAGATGTTGAATTATGAACGCGATAAAAATCCTTCGCCTTTTTAAAATTAGTTTTTGTGAGTTGAAATGAAACACTCGCCGTACGTCAAAATCAGCTGTTGTTCACCAACCGGCAGCTGCAGTTGGGCAGTGGAATTAAAGCGACTTGATTATCAGCTGCCAACAAAAACATTCTAAAAATGTATGTGCTTTGTTTGACCTGAGATAATATGTCACAGCAAACGTTATTAGGCCGGTCTTGTCTCTCATTCGTTTCAAGATTTGTTTTTGAAATTTATTGCCAGCGTTTAGATTACAGTAGCTACTGCCGTTCATTTGTTACAGCCTGTCATTTGCTGTTAAAGGAATCGACGTGATTCCACGTAATTAATGCGTTCCATATCTTGGGTAGGTCACCGTAGTGACACTCGCACGCATGCGCGTACCTCCACGATTTGCAACAAGCAAAATGATTCTGTTTTCCCCTCCGCTCTTCGAAGCTCGGAACTCGCTGAACGGAATTTCACGAAGTTTTTACGTTGACGGATTTTACTAAAACGTGCAGATGGCATTCCACCTTTCGGTGACATTTTACGGGAAGACCTCCGCGCGTTACTGCGTTCGTGAGTGACGGGGGAATCCCCAGTCGGGAATCCCCTCGATTTAGACGGATGAAATTATGGTGAAAGCTCCGGAATCTTTGCGATATACGTGTGTTTATTTTTATCTCACTTCGCTGTTACGTCTGGGACTCAACCGGCTTACTGTCAATTGGGACGTGGGAATTCTTCTTGTGTAAAGTGGCCGGAGCATGAAGCTGCTGAGTCAGGTTGAGGTGCGTGGACCATAATTGAGCACGGGAGAATGACATTTGCCTTTTTTTGGGACGGCGTTAACGCTAACCCTGTCTGCTGTGTTGGCGGCCGGACGTTTCTTTAGCCCCGAACGGACAGGCACGTAGGCTGACTGCAAAACAATTCCACCCCGTCGACTCTACGTGCCATGTTCCTTTCAATATTTTTCGACGTGCATTCTAAACGGATCCGTTTATTTCCGTCTCAATCTCTCTCTCTCTCTCTCTCTCTTCCCCCCCCCCCCCCTCTTCCACTGTGCAGCCAGTATTTCATCCGTATTCCACTCCCACTTCTCCGTTACTTTTTGTTTCTCTCCTTTTCCTATGCACGTGCGTTCTAATATGTTCAGCTGCAATATTTTTCATTCGCCTTTGGTTGTGGAAAAATGCGACGAAACAGATGGCATTAGAATATTCATGTAGGCCACGCGAATGGTTTATTGAGGTCAGGAGGACGGCGGGAATCGAAATAAATACGGATATTCGCAGGAAAACGAGCGCCATTGCGGTTAAGTAACGCGGCAGGCGGAGGGGGTTCAGTGTTGCAGTTGTAATGATTAAATAAACGTGGAGGAACTATCCCGGTTGTATAGTTCTGTAATTAAAAGCATAAAACGTAAACAAGTGACAGCTATGACTCTCCGGCCCCCACTCGGTGCTAGGGGTCGACTGCCAGTAACGACACGGCAAAATGCAACCCGGAAGACGAGCATCGACGTTTTCAAAGCCGTGAGAACCTCAGATCTTACATCACCCGCTCGACTCCAGCACCTCTAACCCAACCTAACGTCGTTTTAGCTAAGCCCAGAACTGCAGTTTGCGTATCTTTTAATATTATCCTGGTGTGGTAAAGCGGCCCTTGTGTTGGGTTGAATAGAATGCGCGTGGCAGAACGCGGGGTTTGCCGATATTTGAACGACGCTTTCACGTGAAAAGTAACGGGCCTCGTAAATTAGACGCTCCACCGCGAGAAAGGGGGTGAGGCGCGACGTTTCACCACCGCCTCTGCTGCCTGTTTGGTTCAGGTTCTTGTCTCCGCTCAACAGCGACGTAACCGCGTCTCCTCTAGCTCAAGGCTCTCGTGATGCCTTCATGTAAGTTATAGCTCGTCAGGCCGTCGC